TTTTTCGCACAGATCTTGTGGAAAGTCGTTGATCTCTTAATTATGACTAAACATATTTTAATTTTTTTTTTTGCCAAAATATCTACTCCGTGTTTAACTTGACATAGACAGTAAACACACAAGTTCAGGCGACTTTTCAATCAGCTCTATTCCCCCAAATTACTGGATTATCCATGTTATTTTGCCAACTTCAAAGGGGACAAATCTACCCCTGTTTGCCCTCTGTACCCGGCCTGAGTCCAAGAAACTGAAAGTTTGTAGTCAGGATTTTTAAGAAACCCTTTAACCCTTTCACTCCCAATTGCAAGATCTGATTATGAATTCTACCCTCTAGCTGCTACACATTTCCTTGAAAATTGGTCACTAGAGTTTGGTATTCAATCAAGGTAACAACTTCTACCAGATAAGTTTGAGTATTCTCATTACCTGTTTGCTGGATCATGTATGGATATTACAAGGAGAAGTTACATGCTAATCACTTCTAGAAGTTGAAGGGTTAAAGAATCAGTTTTGCAGAGCAACGTGATTTCACGTTCATCTGACCCGACCCGACCCGTGAGAGGTCATGACATGACGTCATCTGTACATTGTCCTTTGTCCAAGTGAGTAAAAATACTCCCTTTGGGCCTTAACATGTGAAACATGAATTGACCGACCTGACACCATCCCTGAGTAATGTCAATACAGTAATATTGTGTGATGAAAATCAATCTTTTTTAATTAAGCTTTATCACACTTTGAGTCCACAAAATTTTTTTTTCTTTTAATAGCTTGTTCCTAAATTCACAGGACCACTCACCATCTTATTGCTATATCTAATTGATATAAATGTTTATGGTTCGAGATTTCGACTGGGAGGTGCAGAGATGGGATACAGAAGCCTAGACCCGAACCCTGGCCACGCTATACATTTTTTTTTGTTCTATGGGTGAGACCGTTAACCTTTAAAACAGCTGTCGGTTCCCAAGAGTAGAGCTGACAGGGCATCCTGGGAATGTAGGGGGGCTACAATTACAGTATAAAGGGTAAATTTCTTCTGGCATTTTTAATTTAAAAGCATAAATGTAATCCTCCATATTGCAGCACGCGGTCGTATATTTAGTCCCCCCTCAAAAGAAAAAAAATGAAACGTAAAACTTCCTATCACTGGTCTCTTCGATTGAGGGACCACTGCCAGTTCCTTTACGTCTCGAACAGCTTTTCTTGTATTTCTTAATGCCTCTTTTCTGGATATAACGATGAATATACTTTTTTAGCCATACAAACAAACTGGAGTGTCTGGAGTATTTGGGTATTCTAGAGAAATAAGAAGTACCAGTGTTTTGACAAAAACTAAAGTAACGTGGTTCATGGTTCTATACCCAGCTTCTCCTCCAGCGTCTATGTAAAAGCCACACGGGGATCATACGCAACTCTATGCTTGAATCGTACTTCATTACCATGATAATCAAACTGAGAGCCTTGACTTTTCTAAATTTCCTGCACTTCAATCGACAGATACAAACAACAAACAGAATGACTTTTCAATCAGCTTTATTCCCCAAAATTTATCTTATTATCCATGGCATCTACAGAATTTCGTTAAGTGCGTCTTGAGACATGAACGGGTTGAATGTTTCTTCAGGGAGGAGTGGGTCTGGGACGCCGACTGGGTCTAGGAACGACGACTGGGCCTAGGACGACGACTAGGTCTGGGACGACGACTGGGCCTGGGACGACGACTGGGCCTGGGACCACGACTAGGCCTGGGACGATTACCGCGTTTGGGACGACTGGGCCTTGTAGGTCTTGGCTCGGGACGACGACTGGGCCTGGGACGACGACTGGGCCTGGGACCACGACTGGGCCTGGGACGACGACTGGGCCTGGGACCACGACTAGGCCTGGGACGATTACCGCGTTTGGGACGACTGGGCCTTGTAGGTCTTGGCTCGGGACGACGACTGGGCCTGGGACGACGACTGGGCCTGGGACCACGACTGGGCCTGGGACGACGACTGGGCCTGGGACCACGACTAGGTCTGGGACGACGACTGGGACGACGACTGGGACGACGACTGGGCTGTAAAACAAAAATGAAAATGTAGTATTCAAGAAGACGAAATACTTTGTGTCGTTGATTGTTGATGTATTAGAGACAAAAATCTTCACTTGGTTTAAATTCTAATAGTAGTCATCAGTGAAGCATCTGATTTAATAATGATTAGGATAAGCATTTGATCGCATAGCAAGAGAGCCAGTATAATATTTTTGATATTTCTGCTTAATTAAACAAGATCCAAGTTGAAGTCATGGTGAGTTTGTGAATTAAAAGGGGGGAAGTGAAGGTTTATCCTCCTTAGAATAAATCAACATGCTAAACTTGATTTCGTATTTTAACTTTAAATGTCTCTGAGTCTGGGGAGGCTTTTTGTCCCAATTTCGTTTCACCTAGCCTGTACTTTCCCTCCATAAGATCGAGGAAGATTTAAGTAGTTTTTAGTTGTGCATCCCTCGAGACCAAATAAAAATATCTGTCAATTTTCGTCTACGGAGTCTGTTAGATGATTGTTACGTAAACTTGATTAAGAAGAAATATTTAATTTTTTTCCTCTGTCTTTTTTTCCTCTGTTTTTCCCAATACGGACCTCCGGCTGGTCAATAACATATATATATATCCTTCTAAAAGTATTTTGAAGATCTCCGGAAATCACGTTTAGTTTTGATCAAAAACGTTAAAATAGGACGATTGTTTTATTAACACCGGGGAAAAAGGTTATGTTTTACACGTACCAATTTAAAACTCCTCCCTCACCGATTGCTTTATGTGTGTGTCGATTATCGTTTATCAGAGAAATGCCTAAATTAGCAATTTGAAATTGAGCTTTACCTTTAGCGAAGGTAAGGGTGAAAGAGGACCACTTGGTTTCTTTAAGGGATCATTTTCCACTTCCAGTTCCAATTCTCCAGCGATTTCTTCTCCTTCTTCATCTAACAGTTCATCGAGAGCTGGATCCTCAAAAGGCAACTCTGCTAAGGCAACGGAAGCTCCGAAAAACAGGACCAGTAAAAGAGTCTTCATCTTGATCACAGTGCTATGCTGCTTGCAAGGTAATGATATGAACTCGAGCGCTAACTACTTTTATAGCTCAGCATGGCCTGTTTCTGCATGACAATCGACAAAGCGGAGAAGAAACTCTCCTTGTCCAAGTGCTTTCTGTACAAATCTTACGCTTAAAATGTAAACAGTTTACTTAACGAACGATCACAGAAATGACAGGAGGTTTACTCAATCGTAATCCTTTCTGAAAAATTCCATTATGATAGCTAAGTTGGTAAGTCTCTGTCCTAGTGATAAGCTTTTAAAAAAGGCTGTAATAGTGATAAAGCACTTGTTGAAAAGACGATGGCACCTTCGGCTAGTTATATTACTCTTGCATTGCAAAACGAGTCGTCTTTGAAAAAAAGAGCCTATCAAATAGATCACGGTCGCTACGTGATGTTAGCGATATCAGAACTATTTGCACGCCAGTAGACCACGCCAGAAACACGTGATATCATTAAAAGAACAGTTGACTGAGCTATGTAAATATTATGTGTTTATCTTACGAACTTCTTTGTCCGCGTGTTCCGTATTGTTCAAATCTCGCTTACGACAAGGCAAACAGTGTTTTGTTAGAAAAAAGAAGTCAGTAAATCCAGATGTGATTCTTGTAAGATCTGTATAGAAAACCTTGCTAGGTTGATTTCACTTCGAAGGGAAACACATGATACTGGAATAAAACCAACGAGTTGGAATGTTCGATACTGATGAAGGTCAACATTTCTACTAAGACCTAAAGGGGCTAGGATGAATGTGGTTGGTGAGCAGGTGTGGGGGGAGGGGAGGGGGGTGGGATTAATAGGGAAAAAGGGTCGGAGAAGAGGGAAAAAATTTTCGAATGAAAGAGTTTTCACCTCCTCTCTCGTTTGATATAGAGATAAATTACACGCATCCTTTACCTGCTCAAATACAGACAATATACTTGTTTTTATTGTCAGATAAATAAATAGATAACTGTGAGGAAACTACATCTTCCTGTTTAAACTCCTGCGCAAGTGAACCAAATAATATGTCGTGGGTGAAAAAGTTCATTAGCTATAGCTGATCCAAAGACTCTTCAAGATCCAGAAATACACGTGTAAAGCAGCTGAAATGGTGACATCTGGAAGACCAAGAAACCATCTTACAGTCGATAGCGTGCTGCTTTTCTGATTGTTTTAAAAAATTCTCCTTTTTGTTCACTGACGTGGAATGACCCAATTCAGATCCTTCTCGGCGGCAAATTGTCTCTTCTCCCAGAGCACTCGCTCGATGATAGACATTTGCTCTTGAATTGAGTTTTTATTTGTTTCCGATTCTTAATTATCCGATTAATCATATCGTCATGCCACGAGGTCAGAAACCAAAAGCCAAAACCAGAAAGGCACGGTACGTTTGTTGAGGTTGCGTTAGTCGGAACAATGTGTGAATTTATGCTGAGTTTGACTTCACGGTCTGCTAGACTATATTGTGATTCATTCCATCAAAAGTTTGTAAAAAACTGAAAACCATAGAGAATCTAAATTTCGATGAAGTTAAACATATTTTATCACGAAACCCGCGTATCTCTACTGAAACGGGACCGAAGCTCCGCGTGACGTCGCACTAGTTTGCTGACGAAATTGACGGGGATAAAATAATAACTGCTAATGTGGGATAAAATAATAACTGCTAATGTAGGATAAAATAATAACTGCTAATGTGGGATAAATTGGCCACAATAGTGACGCTGTTATTTCATCCAATGAGAACATTGATAAAATAAACATCACGCAATCTCTTAATCAAAGGTGGGGTTAAATATCGGCAAAGAGCCAAATACGTATAAAAAAAGGCAACGATAGCCTGAAGAGAAGACTGCGGCATGGGGAGAGGGCGGGAAAAATTTTTCTTCAGTACCGAAAATCTGTATTCGGACGTTAACACGATGGGAATGAAGGCGAGAAGGACCAGGAGAGAAACTGACCTTACCTATAACCTTGGTGCTATTTGATCTGACCTCATTTGATTGGCTTAAGATCTGTGATTGACAACACTCCTTGCCCCATGCAAAGGCACACCTAAATAGTTTACTTAACTATGACGGGCCTCGATATAAAATCACATCATGCCCATGTCATAATGTTGGCATTCTCTCTTCCATCATCGGAAAAAAAGGATATTCGTTTATTAAAACGGTATAAATGGGGAGCTATTTTTTCCCCAATTTTTGGGTTCGTCATATACACTTCTTAGAAGAGAGAAAGTGCGCACGCCAGATTTATTTTATAAAAAGGGGAAACGGCATAGGACGTATCCGAAAGGTGTGGTGGGTAGTTATCGGGACCTCATGGTTCTTTTGACCACAGGATCTCGGGGAAATCCGAGTATAACGTTGGTTGACGGCTGTTGAGGTTGAATTAATCAGAACTTTGCGTGAACATATGCCACTGATTTTAAGCTGTCCTCTAGACTATATCCTATTTTACTCCATCAAAAGATCAATTTGCCTAAAGAACCAGTCATTCGCCTGCGGGGTAGGGTAGGGAGGATGTTGGGGGATCACATGGATTTTAGGGGGGGAAGGGGCGGGGGATCAGTCATCCCTAACAGAGTCTAAAGGGGGGGTCTATAGAAAGTGTGCTTCCAATGAGGGAGGGCATCATAAATATACTACGGAGCCTTCAGGCAATTTAACAAATCGACAATTGCTCAGTGTGGTCTGTACTCTTATCGACAACGACTTGGTCAAAGTTATATTATTAACTGATAAGTTAGAAAAGATTTTAAGATGAGCAATCAAGCGAACTTTGGTTGGGTATCATAGACAAGAAGCTTAACCTCGTCTAAGCTTATATTTTTAAGTTTCTCTATGGAATTAAATTTCTCTTTTATCCATTAATAAATAATTAGTAAATGATCTTATTTTATATTTGTTTAGATTTAACAAATCGAAAGTGCTTTAGCGTTCTCTGTATTCTTACGACAACGATATTCGTCACTACAGTGGTCAAAATGTTGCGGACTCACGAGGCGCACCCGAATATCGTTGTCAATAAGAGAACAGACCACTCCAAACCACTGTCGATTTGCTTCTTTTTTTTTTTTTTTGCTGTATTATCGACGTCAAATCAAGATTCTTTCGGTGCGTGACCATTGTATGGCACGTTGACGCGAGTAGCGTTGTCTGTACTGTTATCGACAATGGCAAATTGGCCAATCAGACTGCGAAATTATTGCCAGTTGTAGGGAAAAAAAACGAGTTCGTGAGGTCAACGTAGAAAGTTGAGAAAATGAGTCAATTGTTCTGATAATTTCATGCGTTCGGGAGGTGGGACATTCCTGATTGTTTCGATTCTGCATCAGTGTGTAGATATTCTCGTCTTTGACACACTTAGCCACCAATGAGAACCCACCTAAAAAAGAAGCACGTTCACAAAGCTTTTTTAAGAAAATGAAAGAAAAAAAATCTTCTTTGGGTTACTGATTCCGTCCTATTGAACACACTGTGTAATTTGATTGAACATTACTCCTTTGCCAATCGGGTAAAGTGACTGGTACCAGTGATTTAAATTGAAACCTAACTGACGTTCAGGGTTCTATATCTAGTTTCTGCAGTCGCCTCTGGATAAAAAGCTTGGGCAGTTCTTGAATAACACGATAAGTTTCGCCTTAATCCGAGGACCCTCAGTAATTTATCAGACAAATATTTGTATTAATTACCAAGACTTTCAACTTAAGAACCTCAGTTAGCTTATTCAAACTCAGTGCTAATTTATATTAAAACCCTACTTAGTTTGACATAGACAACAAGCACACAGTTTAAGGTGACTTTTCAAACAGCTTTATTTCCTAGTTTTTTCTTAACTATCTATGACTGCTACTTGATTTGTTATTCATTATTTTGGTTAAATCTGTCTTGATAACTGACGAACTTCTTGACTTCTTGACTAGGTTGACTGCACTTCAAAGAGTAATGGGCGTGGGCTTGCACTTTTTTAATCCCTTTTTGCATTTTTCGAAAAACTCCTGAAACACAAAGCAGACACGATAAACAAACGCCCAATCATCGATATCTTGTTGTCTTAGAGTCATTGTAATAATAATACTTATTTCTTTCGTGTTTGGTTCATTATCTCCTTATTGTTTCTCTCTAGACCAGACTGAATTCTGTTGACGTTTATGCACAGAGTCTTGTTGTGGTAGCTTTATACTTTTCTAAATTAATCTCAAAAATGTATAAGCAAGGTTTGTTGTTGTTTTTATTTTTTTATTGCGAAAAGTACTGTGTAAAGAAATGATAGGAAATTAGCAAAAAAATGGAAAACAAGTGAAATTCCTCAACATAAACAATAGCGAATTATTAGCAAAGAATCTATTCTGAGTGTAGTGCATTTTCAAGTTGTTTCTTTACAAAGTCGTAAAACTTAAAAGAGGAAAGGACTCACTGAGTTCAGTGATTCGGTGGTCGAGGTTTACAATTTGGCGGACCACTTGGGCGGGCTCGACCACTTGCTCGGGGTGGATGTGCATCAATTTCATCTGAGAATTCTTCCTGTGCCACCTCGAGAGGGGTCGGCTTGAGACCCTTCGAGCATATTCGGAGAAGACATTTGCAAACTTTCTGAAAAACAAAGTAAAGACACCAGAGTACACTCAATCATTTTAAACTATCGACTTCTTCAGTGTTTTTTTTTAGAGTCATAGTTACTGTTATATTAATAATAATAATAATAATAATAATAATAATATTGATAATAATAATGATAATGATAACAAGATTATAAAAATAAATTCGAAGAGCTTAGAAAGATAATTAAAAGGGCGGAAAATAGGTAAGTCTTGTGTGTGTGTGTGTGTTTTTTTTTAACCGGACACGTTGTGTCCTGCAGTCATAAGATTGGCTACAGTAAAAACCCGCAGGTAACAACCTAAATTTTTAGGAGTTAGCCTAAACAGGTTCTTATATAAATGGTACTTAACAAAATTTTAGGCTATTTAGGTTCTTAAAACAAGTTCTTATTCTTGGAGAAAAACACATCTGCATAACAAGTTGGTAATTTTCCTATATTTTGTAACTACATATTTTGCACTCATTTTTCTTAAGAAAATCATGTTTTACAGCAATGGCAATCTGGTTTTTCTTCGTTTATGATTACAGTAAATAATTTCAGTGTACCTGTAAAGTACTATATGATTTTAGAAGATAAGAACCTATTCTAATATTCTTAGGCTAAATGGGTTCTTGTTTATAGGGGGTATAAATGGCAAATTTTAGGCTAACAGGTTCTTAATTTTTAGGTTCTTACTTGCGGGTTTTTACTGTATTGAAGCATTCAAAAGGGGTTAGTACTACAACTGCAAACACTCAGTCTAGATCTCCTCATGTCTTTTTCGTAACACACCACACCACACCACACTACACCACAGTGGCCCAAGTAGACATTCATGACCGGAGCTTTAAGTTGTAATTTGTTGTGATACCTTTGTTAAAGGCTTAACTCCAATGACATAGGGCCTGAGCCCGAAATAGAACTCCTTCATTTCCCTCGGAAATTCGTTTTATATCCCCTTATTGTTTTCCTAGAGATAACACCGATCAAACCGGGTAGGGAGGCGATAGACCTCGAATCAGCGATTTGGCTCAAACTTGGCGCAAATGCTAAGTATCATGAGTTAACAAATGTGTAAAAATAATAGGTCAAAATATTCAATTCCCTGGGAGATATAGGGTCCCCCTAGGAAAACTCCAATTTCCTGCATCTTTTTGCATAATTAATTAGCTAACTTTGCATTGCTGTTGTGACAAACTGTAAATCCATCTGCAAACTCAATCAACTGGTTTGTATTTTATATCTATCAGACTTCTAGAAAAATGAATTGTTTGAACTTTTAAATTTCATTTCTTCCCTTACATCTCGCTTTAGTAAAGACGATTTTTTCTGATTTTGACAAAGTCCAAAAACAAAGGTATATTAAGGCCCAATATCTCCGATGAGCAACCACTTCTGGTCATTATTCCTCTCTGAAAGCCATTACTGAATTCCAAAATCTGTAATGAAATTTTAGGACAATTTATTCCATAGCCTGTGCGGACATAAAATTTACATCTACCTCCCGCTTTCTAGTCTAAATCATCAAAATTCCGTACACCACATCTTTGTTTTATTAACTTAAAATAACTTGAAATTTACAAGAAATTTCCCAGAGAGTATCGTTTTCTCGTGGACACGCTCTTAAGACATTTGGCCCCAAACTGAATTTACCTCCTTGGGTGGAAGAGAAGGACGACCACTGGGTTTTAAGGGATCATTTTCCACTTCCAGTTCCAAATCTCCAGTGATTTCTTCTCCTTCCTCATCTAGTAGTTCATCGACAGCTGCATCCTCGAAAGGCAATTCTGCTAAGGCAACGGAGCCTCTGAAAAACAGGACCAGCAATAGAGTGTTCATCTTGATCACAGTGCTATGCTGTTTGCAACTGAAGGCAATGTTATGAAGTCGAGCAGTGACTACTTTTATAGCTCAGCAAGGCCTGTTTTTGCTTGAAAATCGACAATGCGGAGAAAGAACTCTCTTTGTTCAAGTGGTCTCTGTACAAATCTCACGTGCAAAAGCGAAACAGTTTACCTAACAAAAAATCAGAGACATTACAACATGTTTATTAAGTTTTAATCCTTTTGAAAGATTTTTAAGCGAACTAAGTCCAGTTTACCATACCACCGAAAAGGGTAAATAAGGTTGACACGAAGCTAGGTATCTGCCTCTTTGTTTAGCTTCACTTTCAGGCGCTGATCTTAGTCAGCTTTTTTTACAGATAAAACCGCTAAAGAGAAACAATGAAAATGACAAAGTGGTTGTCGAAAAGAAGATGGTGCCTTCGGTTATTCCTCCTGCATTATAAGACGAGCTTCCTTTCAGAAAGGAGTCTATGGAGTACGTTACGAGATATTACTAATATTACTAAATTAGCGCTGTTAGTTGGCACACAAGAAACACATGGTATCATAGAGAGAATATCTAAAGCCCAGTGTTTATGTAAAACTGCGGTATCGGCTGGACCCCGTGTAATTAACCGGCCCATGTTTATCTAATAGACCCTTTGCGCAAGTGATCATTGTACAAATATGTAGGTAAAAAAGTTATTTAAACAGTTTACTCAGGGTTAGGTAAGAAAAAAGACACCTGTGCAAAAAATTCAGATGCTATCCTTAGAAGACTTTTCTAAGAAAGCCTTTCTTCCTGTTTGCAAAACCCGAAGAACATAGAGAAGCTGTCGAAATGCACAAATGCATGATACAGCTTTTCTTTGGGCCCGTAGCAAGTACATGGCTAACATAAACAGAAGAATTGCTTAGTGACCCAGTGATGTCACCTTTCCTTGAATTGTTGTTCATGACCTAATGAATTCCTTATCAACGACGTACTTGTTTGGATTGTTTGATAAATAGATAGCCAGCTGTGATAATAAAAATAAGAGAGTTTTCACTCCTCTTTCTTTTGATACAGAAATGAATTACACGCATCCTTTATCTGCTGAAATACAGGCGATATACTTA